ACTACCGATGTCCCTTCAGAATTAGTCCAGTTGGAACTCGGTCCCAGTGCAGCAGAACTGGGGACGCAGCCTGGGAGCCCTGCAGACCCACGCCTGCCGTACCTCTTGGCCTTTAGAGCCTGAGAGCCTGGGTCTCTGCTGCGTGCAGTTCCCAGTCTGCAGGGACAGGGTGACACGGGCGGACGGGACAGTGGCGCTGGTCTCGGGGCCTCCTGACGTGGGTGGAAGGGACCCCGGGATCCGCTTCTCCGCCCAACCTCAGAGAGCTGGGCCGGGCGAAGCTGCACCCAGAAAAGAGGAGATGCAGCTCCAGCACCCACCAGTTCCGGGAAGAGCGAGCCCCTGGGGACCGAGGGGTGCTGCCCGCGTCCGGGACGACTCAGCTCACACCGGAGGCACAGCACATAGCTGCGGTGGTCACGTAAGCTCGGTGGAAGGAAAGAAAACAGCTGCGCCATTTCCGCTATCATTTTTCAAGGGAATATGCTCCTCCAGCCTTTCCAGCAAACTGCTGAGGGATGGGGGCTCCCTCTTGTTTCAGCCCCTTCCACGGCCAGCCGTCCTCGGTCATGAGGTTTCTGGGGCTGCCGTCCTCTGCCCTGTCGGGACCTCGTGCCTCCCATTGCCTGAGGAATGATGTCCGCGCCACGTGCGTAGCACCAGGCCCTCTCTGCCCTCGGCCGGCGCCTTGCCCCACTGCTGCAGCCCCGCCCCTCCCGGCGAGCGCCCCAGGACGAGCTCCTCCCACCAGGGCGGGGCGGCACCTCTGCTCCCCGCCCTCTCCTGGCGGGAGGAGGGAACGCTAGATGCCGCAGAAGACGCCGCCACTGTTCTCGCCCCGGGTCCAACGCAGACGAGCCCGAGCTCCCCCCACCGCCTGCGGCTCCACCGCTGCCAGGGTCCCGCACAGTGACCGCACTGCGTGCCATGCTGCTTGTCGGCTTATGCTCCGGCAGGAGGCCGTTCAGAGCCTCCAGTCCACGAGCACAGAGGCCTCTGCCAAATTCTCGGGGGTGCGGTGGGGCTTGGTTCACCCGGGAGGAAAACTGCTGACGCCATCTCAAAGACCAGCACCGAGCCTTTCAGGTACTTCCCAGGGAATGGCACTGCAACTCACTGCGGCAACCATAATTTTGTACCCTCAAAATAACTCTTTCCAGCTGTACTCCGCATAACGAGCCCCGGAAACAATCCACCCCCCCACCACCACCACCACCGACGCCAGGCAAGGGGCTCCCTGCTCCCATGGAGACCCAGGAGGGACCCCTGGACCCGCAGTCTGACGCGAGGGCAATACCACAGGACATCTGCCCGAGGACAGGCCTAGGCCAGGGGGCCCCAGAGAGTTAACCAGCTCCAAAAAACAGGACGGAGCAGGAACGGTCAAAGGCCATCTTGGAATCAGAGAGGTGGAGAGAAAACGGGAAAAAAGAAAGCAAACTTTGCCACCGAGGGACTTAGTCAGATTTTTCAGTTTCTCAGAATTACACACGCAGCACTGCAGGCCAATCCACATCCGATTCCTGCTGTTGAGAAGAAATTACTCTCCATGGTAAGAAACTGCCCTGGGACTTCCTACCCAGCCCAACCCCAGCTTTAAGTCAGAACGTAATGCTATGTGGAGGGAATTTTTTATCGATTATGGGACAGCGGAAAGATGTCGGAGGCTCTCTGTGTGCTGGGGACGCGGGGCTAAGGCCCCCCAACGACAGCCACAGAGAGGATGGTGCCCCAATCCGTGTGGGACCCCAAGGCCTCCCAATGGACACAGGGTCCTCAGAGCACACCCAGCAGTAGACAGGCACTGAGGCCTCCAACCTCCCGCCCCCGTGGCCGGGCCAGGTGGGCTCAGCCAGGGCCTGGGACAGAGAGCCCAGCGTCCTCATGCTGGGCGTCCTGGGCACAGATGGAGAGCAGAGGGGGAGACAGCAAGACCGGGTGCCAGGGGGGTTCGGCCACATCCACAGGGGTCAGTGCTCCTCCCAGGACCAGGCAGGCGGCAGCAGCAGGAGCCTGGGCAGGGCAGCCACAGGCCCTGCCCAGCAGAACGGAGCGCCTGTGTCCAACCTGCTCCGCAGGCACAGCCCTGGCCCTGTGTGGTTTGGATGTTTGCATGGGGAGGCTTCATGTAAACATCTAGATTTCTGGCTTCTCTGGAACAACTGGGAAATCTCCTGAGAGTTCCTCTGTGTACTCCTTCCACAAGTACTGACCGAGCATCTACCCATGCCAAGGATGACACTGGGCCCTGAAGATGGGACCAGGAGGAAGTCCCAGACATAATGGGGCACACGTTGGTGAGAAAGACAGACTCAGTACAGCATGGTGGGGCAGGGTGAATGATAGAAAACTGCAGGGTGAGGGGCCGGAGCAGCGAGGGGTGGCTCAGCAGGAAGGCCAGCAGCCTGGCACACGGTCTGAGGAGGAGAAGCTGGACCCCTAGACCTGCTCGGGTGCAGCAGGGCAGAGTGGGGAGGCTTCTGCCTCCCCACAGGGCAGAGACGGGCCAGGGCCAGAGGGTCAGGCATGGAGCGGGTCTTGAGGCAGGCAGGAGGCAGTAGCAGTGGAGGACCCCAGGGAGCAGCATGGGCCTGGGACTCCAGGGTGCCTCACAAGGTGACCGTGGGAAGAGGGTTGGCCTGCAGGGGCACAGGCTCACTGCAGGGGCTCGGGGCTCCAGGAAAGCCCAGGGCTGCCCCGGCCACCTCCACCTCCTCCTGGTCACCAATGTCCCCAGAGCCAGCACCCACAGCCTGTCCTGAGGACGGTGCCACTTTCAGGAGGCCCCAGATGACTGCTGTCGGCTCAGCCACAGGAGGGAAGCCCAGGGCCTAGCCTGGACGGAGCCTTCGGCAGGGCTTGTGCCCAGTGATTCTCCACCAGCCGGGCAGCGCAGACAGGTCCTGCGGGAAGAACTCTCCTCGGTGGGCCGGGGGCTGAGCCAGGCAGGCCCTAGTTGGGCCGTTTCATCAGAGGACACTGGTTTCATGGCTGGTGTGGAGGCAAACCGCACAGGGCCTGAGCTCCCCAGCAAAGCCCTGTGCTGTGGCAGAAGTACCTGGAGGAGCGGGACATTGCACTTGGCCTCCCCAGCTTTCTTTTCTGTCTCCACGCGAACACAGAGCCGATGGGCCCAGAGGCCCGGTGTGGGACACAGGCTGGCTCAGCAGGGACAGCACAGGGAGTGTTCCACATGCCAGCAGCCTCCCAGGGGTCAGGGATGCTCTGCCGAGACAGCCCTGGCCCTGTGTCTGTCACACAATGCGAGGGACCCGAGCGGTGCCAAAGAACCAAGGCCTCTGCAGACCCAGACCGAAAGGTCTCCAGGGCTTTCTGGGATGAACAAGAGCACACGGCAACAGAGAGCCAGGCATGTGCACAGTGTGCTGCCCTCAGCGAAGGGGGCAGTTAGAATGTGCGCCGCACTTGGCTGGGGTTGGCAGAGAAGCAGGGAAGGCTCCGGAGGGCTCGCCGGCCGGCGTGGTGGGGCGGGCAGAGGGGCAGTACTGTTTCACTGCACACTGTCTGTTCTTTTCACATCTGAGCCATGCATATTCGAAATGATAAAATAGAACCCTATGACATAGGCATCTTCTTCATTACTCAGATCAACTGTTAAAAATCACACAAGTGTTTTAAAAGCCAATCTTAGAGTGGCTGCCTGCCCCGTGCTGGGCTCTGAAAGCCAGCAGCAGTCCACAGACGCCACCCCGCAGCCCGCTCCTCAGACTGCCTCAGCCCGGACTCCACCCTGGGAGCCTCACACACCTGCTGGGCCACCTGCTCAGACCTCCGCCCGCACAGGCCCACCTCCTGCCTCCTTTCGGGCTCCATGACAACAAACCAGCCCTCCTTGGGAACCTGCAAATCTCCTGCCAGTCCATCAGGAAGGTGCAAGACAACACCTGTCCCAAGTCACAGCAGCCTTGCAGGAGCCGTGACCAGCGTCCGGGCCGGGCTAAGCCAGGGCAACACCTGGCTGCACCAGACGGGCCCTGCACATGCTCAGCCCAGAGAGCAGCCAGGCCCTCCCACGAGTCCGCGCGCAGCCTGTGGCCGAGGGTGCAGCACCCGAATCACTCACGGGGCTTAAGGGCCACGCTTGAGCTCTGGCGGAGGTGGATTTGTGTGCTCATTAAAGGAGAAGGTATTGGAAGCATTCAGAAGAAGATGCCCTGCAATTTTCAAAATCATGATGATTTCCAGTGGCTGAGGGGAAAGGATTTCCCGGCTGGAACAAGAAGGAAGGAGGAGGGGGAAGCCTTCTAGAGAACAAAAGGTTACGGCTGATGTGGGTGCTAGGGTCTGTTTTGCTCATTTTCACCAAGCAGGGTGTTTCTGCTTTGCCTCATCTCCAGCTCTGTCTCTGGTAGCTGGCACGGGACAGCAGTTTCACTTCAGGGCTGGGCTGTCCATAAATACAAGGGCTGTCCCAGCCCTGAGCCTGGGGTCAGGAGCTTCAGGAGCAGGAGTGAATCTGCCGTCAACGAAAGCCTGGCTCTCCGACCACTGAGGCTGGAACCCACAGAACAGAGATGCAGGTGCTCCTCGCTGTGCCCCACAGGGGTCTGAGAGGCCGGGGAGGGTTTGCCTGAGCATTGCTCCGGTGCTGGAGACAGCGACCAGAGCCTGGCGCAGGGCCACGAACTCCACCACAGAGCAGCCCCAGACCTAACTGGAGGCTGAGTCCCCACTCCCAGCCAGAAGAGGAGGGGCCAAAGAGAGGAGACTTTGCCACTGCTAACTGTGAAGGGTCTGCCTGGCCATCCAAGACATACAGACGCGGCCATGCCGGGAGCCACATCTGCTGTGTGGCCGGCATGGTGCGTTGTCACTGAGCGGAACCCTGGCTGCCCCCGGCAGAAGGGGTGAAGGGGCAGGTGTCCCCTCCATCCCGGCCTTCAGTCTCACAGATGAGCGGCCAGGTCCAGCCTCTTCCTAGGCCACTGCTCACCACACCCGCGCCCGCGCCCATGGCAAACAGGACCCCTGTGACTCACCAAGGTCGCCCTGGCAGACATCTGTGCGTGTGGCTCCACCAACAATGAACTGCGGACTGGGACACAGCTCCTGGAATGGGACAAGCAGAGTCACGAGGCACTGGGATGGGGTGGCCAGAGAGCAGAGAGGTCCGGAAGAGGCCGAGGGGGCCATGTCCTGTGCAGACTGTGCCCCGAGGAGAAGGGCACCCACCTGGAGCGGCCCTGCCGAGGCCCTGCTCTGTCACCCTGTGTACTGTGTGGGTGCGGAGTGGGGTGGGGAAGTAGGAGAAAGGAAGGCTTTGATAACAAGGTGAGAAAATGTGACCGCCTGTCCGTCCACACAACACCTCTGTGTGCACAGGGGAGGGCCGGGGAGGGGCAGTGTCATGCCCTGAGGCGGGAAGTCCCAGCGGGTGGCCGATACCATCACTGCACTTCCTGAATCACCCAAGCAGCCCACACCCTGTGGCTCTGCCAGGCACAGCGGGGCACCCAGGGACTTTCTTTCTCCTTCCCTTTTCCCAGCAAGGAGCCACTGAGTCCTCATTCTGTCTGCTGCGTGCAGGGAAAGGCCATGGTGGAATCAAGAAAAAAATAAAACGCTTGGTCTCCAATGCTTTCAGGCCGATGGGAAATCCAGATAGGCATTATGAAGACATCAGGGAAGAAAAGGCCAGTGCACAGGGGAAACTGAGGCACAGTGAGAGAGGTCACGGCTAAGGCTGCTGCATGGGAGACGAGACCTGTCTGCTGGGAGGAGGATGGCTCCTCCATCAAAGACCTGGGGAGCAGGAGAGACACAGGGACAGAGGGGCTGAGAACACATCAATGGGGGCCAGGGCTGCTGGGCCAGGCCACAGGCAGCTGCAGGAGTGAGAATTGCTTCCATCTGGCCCGCAGACGTGAGATGACAGACGAGGACAAGGGCACAGGCTGGGGCTGAAGCCTGACCTGGGGCTCGGGTACCAGCATCTGGAGTGGAGCTGGAAACCCCCCACCCCCCTCGCTTCCTTTGCAAGTATTAACAATAATCATTAGCTCGTATTTTGTTGAGAAAGTAGCACATGCACATAGAAAAAAATCCAACAGCAAAGAATGGCAGGAAACTAAAATTCCCTCTACTTCAAATTCTTCATTGCTAACATTTCTTCTGTGTGGATTTAGCTCAGTGGTGCCGCCGCAGGCCTGGCAAGCCCAAGGTCTGGGGTTCGATCCCTGCTACCAAAAAATAAATAAATAAAAGATGGCAACATTTCTTCTGTCTTCTGACATCAAAGCGCATTGAGTGCGTGTGCGTGTGTGTATGTGAGCTTTCCACTACTATAATCAAATACCTGGGGCCTGAACATAACACGGTGAAGAGCCTCTATCCACAAGTGTGGTGCATCGTACCGTGCACTATGGTACAGACAGGAGGAGGCCCGGAGACTCCGGCATCGAGGGCTGGATCCTGGGCCCAGCAGTGTGCACAGGTGGGGCTGGGGTTGACTGCACTGTGAGGCCCTAACCTCCTCCATAGCTGAGTGTCTGGTAGGAGGAGGGGGTCTGTGGGGGATGCAGGTGCCTTTGGAGCCTGCATCCTGTCTCTGGCCCCTTCCTCCATCTCTTTCCGGCCCTTTTCCTCCCGGCTTCCTGGCTGCCATGAGGTGAGCACCCTTCCTCCACCAGGCCTTTCCGCCATGATGTTCTGTCTTGGAGCCAGCAGACCAGGGACTGAAACCTCTGACACGTGAGCAAGATGGATATGCCCTCCTAAGCTGCGTATGTCAGGTTTTTGCCAGAGCAACGAAAGCTGACCAGCACATCCCAGTGCACTCTCCACCCTAAAACAAAGGTAGCCCTTCCTACAGCACTTGGTGCAGCTGGCGAACCTGGGGGACACTGTGCTCAGTGAATTAACCTGGGCACAAGAAGGACACACTGCATGATTCCACTGGCACAAGCAGTGACATTTTACCCCTGGGGCTCAGATTCATAGACACAAAGGAGAGGGAAAGCTGTGGCCAGAACAGGGCCAGAGGAGGGGTGGAGGGAGGTCAGCATTTAATGGGGAAGGGTTTCAGCCCTGTCGGAGGAAGAGCCAGAGATGGAGGAGCGAGGGCCACACCGCAATGTGGGCACATACGCTCAATGCCACTGAGCGGTACCCCGAACACAGCCACGATGGTAAAGGTTGTGTTGTCCTGGACCCGCACTCACACACACACACACACACACATGCACACTCACGGCTGTGACTCCTGGTACACTGCAGGACAACCGGTCTGCTTGCAGGCCCTGAGAAGCCTTTCCGGAGGAGACAAAGGAAGCCTTTAGGGTCAGGGTGACCCCCTCAGGGCCCGAGGCCCCTGGGTCAAAACAGTCAGCAACTGGCCCTGCTTCAGTCTTATGGAACGCATGGTGCACAGGCAGTGGGAGCTGGGGCACTGGCGCCTGCCAGGGAGAGGCTGAGTCGGACTCGCTTCGCTAGTCTCAGGCCGCCCCTGGGTTCCTGTCTGCCTGGTGCAGCGCCGCTGTGGATGCAAGGTCAGCTCATCCACTCTGGAGCCACGGAGCCCACAAGGAGGGCAAGACAGGGAAGGGTGGCTGTGGGGGCTTTGGGCGTCACGAGTGGCTGCGAAGGACAAGGGTGGGCACTGGCCTGGTCTGCCCCGCCTGGCTCCCAGGCCCGCTGGCACCCGTCCCTCCCTGCCTGTCCCCTGGCCCGTGGCCCCTGCCCCCCGCTGAGTCCTCCTCCTCCTTCCCTGGCCGTCAGGCCTCCATCCACACTCTGTCTCCGTGACCTCCGTCAGCACCAAGGCCACAGCTGTCCTCAGTTTCCCCCAGCCACCTTGCCTGGCACAGAGCAGAGCCACGACAGACCTCCACGGGGCAGAGCCACAACGGGAGGCTGCAGTTCCCGGCCCTGGTGGGGCCAGCACTGCAGGGTGACCCCAAGGGGCCCAGCAGGCGGGGGTGGAGGGAGGGAGCCGCTGGAGTTGCTCAGAGGTGAGCAAGGGTGCAAACCCCCGGACGAAGACCGAAGGGGCAGCTGGAGGCAGAAGGTGACTTGGGCCATGGCCATGGAACCATTCTCGCCTCATGGTCCCTCTCCAAGCACTGCTAAGCCTGGGGTCTCGCCTGATTCTCCTCTTGCGATGTACAGCAGGGGGTTCCCAAACCCCGGGCCACAAAGGGCACCGCCTGAGCTCGGCCCCCGGCAGATCTGAGGCCTCACTAGGGGTTCTCACAGGGGCTCGGCCTCTGCGTGAGCTGCATGGGTCTCCACCCCGCTCCCCAGGAGGCTCCCGTGCGTGCCTGCCATCTGAAGAGGAGCTGGCGCCGGGCTGGAATCTCTGCATCACAAGCAGCTTCTCACAGAAAAGAAACTACAGAAAGAGCCCCTCCCGCCCTCATCCGAGGAAAGATTATCTCCTGTGAAACTGGTCCCTGGCGCTGAAAAGGCCGGGCCACGGGGCTGGGAGACCAGGGCTCTGGAGCCACGGAGTGCCAGACACGGCAGAGGCCTGCAAGAGGTCTTGACTCCGAGCCACCGCGTGGACGGGCTCGGCCCCCAGGGCGCAGCCACCTGACCCAGGCCACCGCGGGCCCAGCCTTGTGGGGAGCACCCTCGCCTCTGCCCTTGAGAACGCAGCCCAGCAGCGCGCCTGTGGCTATGGTGCCCTTCTGAGTCACCAGGGCTGCCAGTGTCGAAAGCCCCCCGGCATGGCCCTCCCTCGGGCCCCTTCTCCTCACCGTGGGCCGCCTCCACACGACGCCTTGAGTCTGGGGGGAGCCAGGGCCCAGATCCTTGTAGCCCAGCGCCGATGGACATGCTGGGAACTCCGGATCCTTAAACAGCACCCCGGAGTCCAAGCACTGCCGCCTCAGAGCCTCAAAGTCCTGGCCCATGTACTTCACCACGTTCTGGTGGGAGCCGAGCCCCTCAGCAGCTGCCCGCTGCCTGCGCACGCCCGCTGCCTGGGCCGCCATGCCAGCTGAGGGAGGAAGTGGGTCTGGGATCCGCACCCCTGGGAAGGAGCTATAAGGCGGCGGCGGGAGGCGGAGCAGCCCCGGCAGGGCAGCCCCGGGTCACACACACGCCCAGGGTGCCCCACCTGCCCTCGCCCTGCAGACTGGAGGCTGGACACCTGCGGGGCCATCCCAGCTGCCAGCCTCGGAAACCCCGGGGCCTCCAGGGTCCCCAGCTCTGAAGGCCAGCACCCCGGCACTGGCCTGTAGCTGAGATGAGAAGCCTTTGCTCTTCTTTTTGGTGCTGGAGATTGAACCCAAAGCCTTCAAACTGAGCTACATCCCTGCCTGCCTTTTTCCCCACAATTTGTATTTCAAGGTAGGATCATGCTAAGTCACTGGGCTGGAATTTGGGGTCCTCTTGCTTCAGACTCCCAGAGTGCTGGGATTGTAGGTGGGGCCCCAACACACCTTGAGAGAAGGCTATTGTTGAGGCAAAAATTCACCAAGGGAAAAAAAAAAATTCTCCAAGGAATGGCTTTGAGGACTGGTCCCAAGCAGGACGGCCGTGGCTCCAGAGGTCTCCTCTCCTTTCAGGAAAGTCTGGCTCCACATTTCCTAGGAGGGCAGGAATATGTGGGTGACTCCAGCATCATTGGGCGGAGCTGCCCTGCTGGGATGGAGGTTGGGCCACCAGTAATTAACTGTCCCCTCAGGCAAGTGATTTAACCCCTTCCCTCCTCTGTAAAGTGCAGATAATGAGAGGGCCTGGCTGGTGGGGTCTGGGCAGCAATGAGGTCGTACACAGGGCGGACACGGGCAGCCTTCAGTGAGGTCAGCTGTCATTACTGTGTGGAGCCAGCCAGAGCGGCAAGCCAGGGGCCACCTTCCACTCAGGGGAGTCATGCCCACCGGGGATGTGGACCGAATCCATGGCTTCTGAGCGTGGGTGTTTGGCAGGGTGGGACGTGAGCCCTGGAACCTGTGAGTGTTACCTCTTAGGGAAGAGGGCTCTGCCAACTGGACTGAGTTAAGGATCTTGAGGTGCAGAGATTATCCAGGCCCTAAATGCAGGGGTCCTCCTGGGAGGAGGCAGCATAGACTGAGGACAAGGGGTGAGACCCGGGGGCAGGGCAGGGTGTGGAGCAGCAGAGGAAGCAGCAGCTGGACGAGGGGCGGGACCAGGGCCTGCAGGCCCCTGGTTTCAACCCAAGGACTTGACCTGGGGCTCCGGCCAAGGCTAGAGAATGTGTTCTGTTTTAAGCACAGCACCCAGTGGCGTGCTTGTTTGTTACAAAGCCACAGGAAGCCAGGGCAGTTCTTAATGCACCCAGGAGCTCTTGCTGAAAATGCTGCTTACCTACCCAGCCCTGCTCTGCTCCACCCCGAAAGTAATGAGCTCTGATTCAGGAGGTCTGAGATCAGACCCAGGAACCTGCCATACAACCCTCTGCCCCAGATATTCCAGCACAGGGCTCCCAGGACCCATGCCTGAGCTTTGGACCAGCTGGGCTCCAGCCTCCAGGCCAGTGACATCCATGCGTCCATCACTTGGAGAGGCGGTGGAGCTGAGCCAGCAGAAAGCAGAGTCCTTCCCATGGTATGCAGAAGTAAACACGGGGCCGCAGGTGGTTCTGTCACAACCCAAGGTTTCAATGCCCTTCAGAGGCCCAAGCCAGCTCCTGAAGGATGTACATGTGCCCTGCTCCCCTCCTGGTGGTCCTCCTTCCTGCCCCCAACACCCTTGGGATAGGCAAGTTACAGAGTCAACTTGATTGGCTTGGGAGCTGCCTTGGGGACTGTTGGAGTACACTGGGTGTCGGGGTGGTCATGGAGGGGTGACCTTGGGGAATATATCTGGTCTCCAGCCCCTTCCTCTCTAGCGCTGCTCCCCTCCTGTGCTTCCTGGGCCACCATGAACTGAGCAGCTTTGCTCCCCCAGGCCCTTCCGCCATGATGCTCCTGCCTTGGAGCCAGCTGACCATGGACTGAGTCCCCTGAACCATGAGCCGAATTAAACCTCAGTTCCTTTGAGCTGTGTGTTTGGGTGTGTGTCCCAGTGATGGGAAAGTGACTAATACACCTTTCCCTGGATTTGACCTCTGCCCACTATTAAGCTCAAGGGTTGACCATAACTTCTTCACCAACCCACAAGCTGAGCCTGGCCCTGGGGTAGCCTCCTGTGCCCCTGAAACCAGAGCCACACGGCCACTCAACCCACACAAAATCCCTCCTCCCTGGCAACCAGGGCACTGGCGAGGCCTCCCCTCTGTCCCCCACCCCTGCACCCTCCCAGCTTCCTCCTGGAACAACGCCATTCTGCCGGCCTCGGGCCCTGTGGCTCCGGAGCTGTCCCCGAAATGCCCTCCTCTTGCCTGGTGCCAGGCTCCCCAGAAGCCCCTGGGCCCCAGGAGCTCCCTGCCCACCAGCTCATCCCCAGCTGCCCCCTCTGGGTGCCTCGTGGTGATCTGTGGAGCCTGGCCCTGGCCATGGGCTCAGCTCCCATCCACACAGAGCAGAAGGCACTGCTGGCTTTGCTCGGCGCTGCACACCTGGGTCCTGGAAAGCAGCACCCAGCCTGGATGCAGAAACTATTCACTGCATCAAAGCAATGCAGAGCCGGGAGACAGCTGAGCCAAGTGCATGGAGCTGGCCCGGGGCTTCCTAGGGACTTCCCAGGGCCTTTTCCCTGCCACTCCCTGTGCACCAGTGCAGAGCCAGCCCTCCCCTTCTTACAAGCAACAGCTGGTTCTCTTCCTCCCCACAAGAACACTCCCTGGTGAGCAGCCTCCTCCTACCCCTGCCTCAGCCCCTCTCTCCCACTGCCAGACACTTGCCCCAAGCCCTCCCTCCTCAGACAGCCCTTGTCTGCCTGCCTAGTCTCTGAAGAACAGCAGGTGCTATCAGAGGGCTCTGTGCCAGGCCCCGTGGGCACTGGGCCATCATCTACCTGTCATCAGCAGCCTCGCCGCCCAGACAGCTGCAGGAGCCAGCACCAGGGCCTGCCAGGCAGCCTCGGGCCCTGCAGAGGGATGCGCCAGAAGACACAGGCCTGTCAGCGCCTCCTGGCAGGCGGCCTGGGTACACGCGAGCCCTGCTCCGAGCTCGTCAGCCAGGCTAGGGCTCTAAGCTTCACGTGGTTGGCCAGAAGGATGTGGGCAGAGCAGTGCCCCCCGCCCCTCGCAGCCCAGGGCCCGAGGGTGCCCATCATGGAGCTGAGTCTGCAAGGTGGTCTGCACAGCTGCTTCGGGGAATCCAGGGTTGAAGTTCGGCAGCGGGCTTCTGTCTCCTGGGCCTGCCAAGTTCAGAATGCTAAGGCGTGCAGGGCTGAGCCCAGGCCAACAGGGGCCTGGAGCTCGCACTCGGCGCCAGTGTGAATGCAAACTGTGGCAGCTGTCTCGGAAAACAGTCTGGCAGCTCCTCAGAATGTCACACACAGAGTTGCCTGGCATCCCAGCAACATTCCGGGCCACAAGGAATTGAAAGAGAAGTGAAGACATCTGTCCACACAAAAGCCCTTACACAGACGCCCACAGCAGTTATCATTCGAAGCAGTCAAAACTGGAAACAACGGATGAGTGGATAAACAAATTGTGGTCTGTACACACAGTGGAATATTACTCAGCCATAAAAGGAGTGGAATGCCGCCATGTGCTACAAAACAGATGAACTCTATGTAAAGTAAACAAAGCTAATGACAAAAGGCCACACGTTGCATGGCTCCTGTCATGTGAAATGCCCAGAATTTTCACTCGTGGAGATGGGAAGTAGATTCGTGGTTTCCAGGGGTGGCACAGAGAGCAATGTCATGCTGGTGGGGCGATTTGCAGGTTGAGAATCTGCCTAGGGAGGAGGAACCCCACAAGGCTGGAACCCACTGACCTCAAAGGAGCAAGGGGTCCCCGGCCTGCAGCCCGTCCTCCTGCAGTGGGCCCTTGGAAATGACCCTGGTCCCTCCTCAGCTCCCCCACCACAGGGAGAACAAGAGCACAAAGGGAGGCAAGGAAAGAAGGCCAGGAGCTCTCAGGGGCACAAGGGAGCTCGAGCGGCCACACGGAGCCGTGGCAGCCGGCGGGCGTGCGGTGCTCATGAGCACCTGAGTCCCTCCCACGTGTCACTGACGGGTCCCACTGCCCTTCTCCAGCAGTGTTGCCGTACCCTGCTCTGGTTTCAAGGGGACACCAACGAAGGAGCCAACTCTGCAGCCCCCTTGAAACCTGGATCCGGGCCATGCTCACCCAGAGACACGAGCATGGGTCAGGGAGAGGCAGGCGAGGGACAGGCTGGAGGGCCAGAGCCACATGCGGTCCGCTGCACACCTGCACGCGGAGGTCGGCGCCGGCCCATGACAGCACGGGGCTCCGCAGCAGCAATAAAGACTAATAGTTTCGGCGGAGACAGGGAGAGCGGAGAACGCAGAGCAGATGAGACAAGCAAGACTCCAGAAGACGACAGCGGTTCACAGCTGATCCAGCAAGGGTTCTGTGACATCTAAGTCTGAAAACAGAAATCCCGGGGCTGCTGCTCAGGGTAGAGCTTGAGCTGAGCATACTCAAGGCCCCGGGGGCGTCCCCTGCATCACAGATAAACCAATAAACCAATAATAGATAAGTGTAAAATTCTCAGATCAATTACAAACCACAACAGAGTAATTATTGTTAAGGGTTCCTATAAAACGTGCCCCGGGAAGTCTCATGTGTTCAGCGGCGGGGACTTCGAAGCAGCGGCCCACTCACGAGGAGGCTGACGTCACCACTCGGCGGACCCAATGAGCTCGCGGCTTTCGGGCTGGGGTTGGACAAAGTGGGTGTGGCCTGGAAGGCGCATTTTGCCCCACCCCCTCCCCCCGCTCTCTCCCTCTGCTCGCAGCTGCCTGAGCTGAGCATCTGTCTCCCGCGTGTGTCTTCTCCTCCCTGGAGAGGACGGCAGGACCCAGGCAGGCCCCCGGCAGGAGGAGCTGGTGTCCAGGGCGGCGCCCAGCGCAGGCGCCACCCCCGCGTCTCCCCTGGGCTTCCTGTGCCTGTTCCGAA